GTCACCAGTCTAGTCTTCGATGACGTTGCAGCTGCTATTCTACAAGAAGAAAATCAATGCAAGAACAAAGAAGACAGACAAGTAAATCTTCAACAAGCAGAAGCGTTGACAACGATGAGAGGGAGATCAACAGAACGTGGCCAAAGCAGCAGTCACAAACATGATAGATCGAAGTCGAGAAGCAAGAAGAATTTAAAGTGCTACAACTGTGGAAAGAAGGGTCACTAGAAGAAGGATTGTTGGAGTCTAAATAAAAACTCCAATCCACAAGATAATACTGCAAACACTTCAGATGATGGAGATGCTCTATGCTGTGAAGCGTCAACCACTGTGGAAGGTAGAAAGAGATATGCAGACATATGGCTCATTGATTCGAGAGAAACATATCACATGACCTCAAGAAGAGAATGGTTCCATCATTATGAACCTGTCTCAGGAGGATTTGTGTATAGTTGCAATGATCATGCCTTATAGATCATTGGCATGGGAACCATCAAATTGAAGATGTATGATGGAATAATTAAAGTTGTTCGAGATGTACGGCACGTGAAAGGCCTGAAGAAAAATTTATTATCCTAAGGATTGTTGGATAATAATGCAAGTAAGATTGAAACACGGAAATGAATCATGAAGGTGTTCCGTGGAGCGCTTGTGGTGCTGAAAGGCGAAAAGATAGCTACAAACTTGTACATGCTGAAGGGAGAAACTTTGCTAGAAGCAGAAACCTCTGTTGCCTCATGTAGTTCAGATTCTGCAATGCTATTGCATCAGAAACTTGGACACATGTCAGAACAAGGAATGAAAGTCCTTATGGAGAAAAAGCTACTTCCAGGCTTAACAAAAGTATCACTTCCTTTGTGTGAGCATTGCATAACAAGTAAGCAGCACCGGTTGAAATTCAAAACATCAAATTCTAGAGCCAAAAGTGTTCTAGAATTGGTTCACTCTGATTTATGGCAAGAACCAGTTACATCCTTAGGCGGAGCAAAATACTTTGTCTCATTTATTGATGACTACTCCAGGAGATGTTGGGTGTACTCTATTAAGAAGAAGTCAGATGTGTTTTCCACTTTCAAAAACTTCAAAGCGCGGATGGAACTTGATTCTGGAAATAAGATCAAGTGTTTCAGAACAGATAATGGAAGAGAATACACAAGTGAAGAATTTGATGACTTTTGCAGGAAAGAATGCATCAAAAGACAGTTCACAGTGGCAAACACTCCTCAACAAAATAGAGTGGTAGAGCGGATGAACAGAACCTTGTTAGAAAGAACAAGAACAATATTGAGGGATGCATGCCTAGAAAAATCATTCTGGACAGAAGCAGTTAATACCGCATGTTATTTGGTGAATCGAGTTCCATCAACTGCAATAGAGCTGAAGACACCAATGGAGATGTGGATTGGTAAACCAGCTGATTATTCAAACCTCCATGTATTTGGAAGTATTGTGTACGTGATGTACAACGCCCAAGAAATTTCAAAGTTGGATCCAAAATCCAGGAAATGCAAATTCTTGGGGTATGCTGATGGAGTAAAGGGGTATCGCTTGTGGGATCCCACTGCCCGCAAAGTGATCATTAGCAGAGATTTTATCTTTGTAGAAGATAAGCTACAAAGAAAAGAAGACGATGATAACACTAAAAAGTCAGAGACTACACAGATACATGTGGAAAAGGAGTTTGAACAAAGAGATTCTTCTGAAACAGAACCAGCACATGATGAACAAGAACCAGAGAGTTCTGAAGTTCCAACAACTCGTCAATCAGATCGTGTGAGAAGACGTCCCAATTGGCACTCAGATTATGTTATAGAAGGTAATATTGCATACTGCCTTTTAACAGAGGACGGTGAGCCATCAACATACCAGGAGGCAATAAACATCTCATATGCTTCACTGTGGATGATGACGATGCAAGAAGAAATTGAAGCCCTTCATAAAAATAATACATGGGACCTTGTGCCACTACCACAAGGAAGGAAGCCAATTGGTAACAAATGGGTCTTCAAAATCAAGCGAAATTGTGACGATCAAGTTGAGAGGTATCGTGCAAGACTGGTGGTCAAAGGATATGCTCAAAAAAAAGGTATTGATTTCAATGAAATATTTTCTCCTATGGTTCGACTAACAAAAGTTCGAGTAGTTTTGGCAATGTGTTCTACATTGAACTTACATCTAAAGCAGCTAGATGTTCAAACAGCTTTTCTTCATGGAAATCTTGAAGAAGAGATTTACATGCTCCAACCTGAAGGTTTTGAAGAAAAAGAAAAGAAGAACTTGGTTTGCAGGTTGAACAAATCTCTGTACGATCTAAAGCAGGCGCCGAGGTGTTGGTATAAGAGATTTGATTCCTTCATTATGTGCCTTGGATACAATAGACTTAATGCAGACCCTTGTGCTTATTTCAAGAGGTCTGGTGATAACGATTTTGTTATATTGTTATTGTATATGGATGACATGTTGGTTGCAGGACCCAACAAAGATCATATTGAAGAATTGAAGGCACAACTGGCTAGGGAATTTGAAATGAAGGACTTGGGATCAAAAAACAAGATTCTAGGGATGCAAATTCACCGAGATAGAAGTAATAGGAAGATTTGGCTTTCACAAAAGAATTACTTAAAGAAGATCTTGTCACGATTCAACATGCAAGATTGTAAGCCAATTTCTACCCCTCTTCCTATTAACTTCAAATTAGCCTCAAGTATGAGTCCTAGCAGTGAAAAAGAGAGGATGGAGATGTCTCGAGTACCGTATGCATCGGAAGTGGAAAGTTTAATGTTTGCTATGATATACACAAGACCAGACATTGCACAAGCAGTGGGAGCAGTTAGTCGGTACATGGCGAATCCCGACAAAGAGCATTGGAATACAGTAAAGAGGATCCTGAGATACATCAAAGGGACCTCAAATGTTGCATTATGTTACGGATGATCAAATTTACTTATCAATGGGTATGTTGATTCTGACTATGCAGGGGATTTTGATAAAAGCAAATCTACTACAGGATATGTGTTTAAAGTTGCTGGTGGAGCTGTAAGTTGGGTTTCAAAATTACAGTCAGTTATGGCTATATCTACAACAGAAGCAGAATATGTAGCAGCTACAAAAGCCAGTAAAGAAGCAATTTGGTTGAAGATGCTATTGGAGGAGCTTGGGCACAATCAAGAGTATGTCTCTCTGTTTTGTGACAGTCAAAGTGCCTTGCATCTAGCAAGGAATTCAACATTTCATTCAAGGACAAAGCACATACGAGTTCAGTACCATTTCATTCGTGAAAAGGTGGAAGAAGGGATGGTAGATATGCAAAATATCTATACAAAAGACAATATAGCAGATTTCATGACGAAAGCAATCAATGTTGATAAATTTACCTGGTGTCGATCCTCTTGTGGCCTGTCAGAGACGTAAGCAACATGATGATACAAGGTAGAAAGAATGGTGTGAAGATATGATTCTTTCAATCAAATCTTCAAGTGAGAGATTATTAGTTGTCATGCAAAATTATTAGTTGTCATGCAACTAATAATAGTTGTATAATGCATAATAATGGTTCATAATGCATTGTAAGTTGGAAACGATAATGGTTCATAGTTGGCATTAATAATGGTTGAAAAGTGACATGGCAAAATCTCACATTTAGTCATTGTAATTTAGGGTATTTTCAAGATTAGTCCTTAAAGCTTCTACTATAAATACCCTAGCTCATTTAGCTTCAAAACCATCCCAAAGCATTCTAGCTTTCTTCCAATACTAGAGAGAATTTAGAGAGTTTCTTTAGAGTTATTTTCTCCTTTTTATCAAGGGAGAATTATTATTGTTTTCTCCTTGGTAGATCGAGAGATGTTGTAATTCATATTTTTCTCATAGTGAAATTCTTCTACCGTTGCCCGTGGTTTTTACCTTATATTATTTAGGGGTTTTCCACGTAAATTTTATGTCTCTTTCATCTTCAATTTTTATTTTCTCAAATTATTAGTTGCATTTTTACTCTATCCGATAGCCGTCTTCCGCAACAGGAATGACAGTCTCCATACTTTGGAAGTTCCTGTACACATATTATCACGATTAATGTTAATGATGCTTGTCCGATGGAAGCAGAATCTCCAATGATTGGTGTCTTTGCTCGGGATCCTTGTGTTATTCTATTCCAAGGGTCTAATGACGTTGGAGTCACCGAGGCATGTTCTCTCACTCAAGGAGTTCGGTTAGCGATTGAATTGGATTATCCACGTATTCTAAATGAGAGTGATTTGTTCAACAATTGAAGACTCCTAATGCAGGCATTAATCAACTTTCATTTAATCGATGCACGTACGTTTATTGATTAAGTAATCTCACATTCGCATCCGCTGTATTCGACAATCCACCAATAGTATTGCACATGATCTTGCGCATTACTTCTTATTGTATATGATTATTCTAATTGTATTTCGGACGTTGTTATTAACGATACTATTTGTGGATAATAAATATAAGTTCTTATTTAAAAAACATGTATTTAATTAAAATAATAACACATTTAATCCTCAACACTTGTATACAATATTAATTTGATCTCAATTCTAAATATTCAAACAAATTTAACCCTTTATATTTACAAGTTATAACAATTTGGTCATAACAATAAAAATTCAAAACAATTATAATTAAAAATTAAGAAAATGGAGTTTTCATCTTTAAATTAATTTTTTCAACATGGACAGTAAGCTAAAACACTCGAGTGTCTTTGCCTCCAAACAAATATCTCTAAACAATAGATTAGAACAATCATTCATCATTTTCATAGAAATTCATGTTCCAAAAGAGACATCCAAGCTTGGCCTTTAAACTCTTTATTTTGTGAATATAAAGATGGTGATACAAAAAGCCTCCAAAATAACACATGGATAAACTTGTAAAATATTAAAGATACTCTCAGATCTAACTCCATGTAATATAGTTAAAAGGATTAACTTTCTTTATTGTTACAATTATTTCTTTGTAATTAGGAATAAACTCTAACAGGTGAGACTAACCCCAGGAGCAACATTGAGTTGATTACAGTACCGTGTGAAGTAATCAATCCGAGACTGAACTTTGTCACGCTCTGCACCGTTACACTCAATTGGATTAATGGCTCTAATGGTGGCCCCAAACCCTTGGCTCATGGCTGCAGCAACATATTTCGTCCAAAACCATAAGGCAGCTTTGAAGGCGATAAGAGGGTCATGGGCCACGGTTTCTGGTGCGCCTAACCCATCGAACTGCAGATCTGAACCAGCTGGTCCGTAGTTGTAGTTCCATGATAGTTGCAATGGTCCACGCCCATAGTAACCTTTGCCAGGGGCACATGGATACTGTGTCATTGTCTCGTTGCAGTAATCCTTGTTGGCCCCATCCGTCTCTTCTATGTGGCAAAAACCTGCAAATACAGCAACAGCTTATTGCTTAGCATTTCGGAGGTGACAAATCATTGGGTAATCGAGATATGATATGCTAAAAAAATGTTACCTTCAGTTTCATGGCTAGCATGGGCAAAGAAAGCAGCAATCTCACGCCTGGATTCTTCGACTGAGCCAGTCCTTGCGAACCGAGTGAAAGAATTGAGAGCGTCAAGAAAAGCTCCTCTGGAATAAAAGTTTTTACCAGGACAAGTTGCGCCTTGGTTCCACAGTCCATTAAAGAACTCGGGTGTAACAATGTCAGCTATGGAAATTCCATTATTAGAACAAGGACCCCCTACGCAATTTGCACCGCAGAATTCTGGACCTGTTCCACAGTACCCAAATGTACTGCAACATTCATTTGCTGCACATCTGTTATCACATTGAGCCTTCACCATCATCCCAGGCATGGTTCCAGCAAGAATGTTCGCTAGGATAACAGCTACAAGACTGTTTTTCATATTCAAGGTCACCATTTTTTTCGCGTGAAATCTGTTTGGGTGTGTTAAATTTGTAGAATTCGACACTTATTTATAGCTTTGTTGAAAGAAAGAAAGAAAAGCAAAAGAAGAGCATGGAGTGTCAGTTTTCCACCATGGGAAAGCTTGTTTTCAGAGTGCGTGAAGATCACGGGTCTAGCGGCCCAACTTTGACTGGTAAGGAGGAAAACAAAGGGGTCTCTTCTTGGAAGGCCATGGGAAATTTCTGCTTCTTTATTGAACTGTATTATCCCTTTGTACAGCTTTATGATTAGGAAATTATACTTGATTCCAGAGTCGATGGAACTTCATTTCTATGCAAACTGATGCAACAGATATGTAACAGAGAGGATACTGTTGTTTCAGCCGTGTTATTACGCTAGAGCCTGTGATTGGCTAGTTTCAATTTGTTAGTCATAAGTTATTGGCTAGTTTCATTGAAACCGGTCTGTTTCCTTGTGTTGAAAGTTCAAAGAGGACAAATTCTACTTCGATTTTACTTTACAAACTTGTTGACGTTTCAAATTGATTGTTAAAATTGAACTCAACCGGCTGACCAGGTTCTTGGTTTGTTGCATGAATAATAACCACAAAACTATCTTACACAGGGTCCTCCAGAAGTGGAACGTGTAGAAAAAATGCATTCGATTGATTTAATATCGATGAGTTGAGGATTAGAACGATTAATAACAATAATTCCTTGGAGATTTTGTTGTTTTTATTAAGAATATACAATTTAGAAGGATATTACCTACTAGTTAACATAACTAACCGATCACAATTTAATTACGTGAAATTTTCAAATGAAACCAACTAAAAATAAACATGTTGGGCATCAGGAAAAGATCAAAACTGCAAATGCATATCATACACATTAGAAACAATGATAATTTAATAGGGGCAGGGGCGTGGGTTTTTTTTTGGGAGGGGGGGGGGACAAATATGACAACCTAAACTTCGGTTCAAATTGAGAGTTTCCCTATCATATGAATTTAATTTAAATTTTTTATCATATTCAATACAAAAACCGTTTTTTAATAACTGAACTTTGACATAAATGAATGAAAAATGTTTGCTACAGAAGAAGGAAAGAAGAAAAAAAAAGTACATTAGAGGATACATATATTTTTATGGTACAGACAGTTATCAATTGTGCATCAACATTCTTCACTATATGTCAGCTTCTCTCTCGCTCATAAGTTATTATTAGCAAATCAAATAAAACTTGAATCACACTAACCTATGTCGAAAGGAGCTTTGACTGCTAAGTTTACTCACTAAACAGCTGAAACATTTCCACCTACCAGCTTCGGCTTCCTCCACAAACCAACATAATTAATGCCAAAAGAGTGAAACTCTTCAAGATAGTGAGAACCCATATCTTCATGGGAATGCTTCATCTCTTTGCCAATAGTAAGTAAAAGTGAAGCGTCTCTGAATGAATGCTAGGGGGCATTTAATCCTAGATGTCCTATGCTTTCAACAGGGATCTGGTTTCGAGTCTTAACGTCCAAACCATCATTTACTGGCCACCTATATCACCTAGTGGCGCCAGACAGAATAATGATTATCCTGCAAGCGCTCCAACAGATGATTCACAAGAGAAAATTCGCCCAAAAAAATCCAGAGAAAAAAAGTCTCTAGGGTTTAATAAAATATTATCAAATCAAACAATGCCAAAATCAATCCACAAGCTGGATTGTTATAGCCAAAAACCGTCTTTATTCGAATTTTACCAAAAATAGCAAAATCCCGAAAATCACTCTAAATTGAAATTTGAAATAAAATAAGCAATCTCCAAAAAACCCGGCCTAAATCGGATTTAAATTGACTTCCTAATTGACAATCGAAATATTACCATAAATAGTAAAAAATATCTAATTCTAGTGATTCGGAGGGGAAAATGGCAGAATTTGAGGTTGAAAAAAAGGCCACATAGAGCATAGCTCATGTGGAGAGCGTGCGCGTCGAAAAGAGCTTTTCGGATTGGGGTCTTATGCGCGATTCTGACACCTGTAGCCAAAGTTATGGCCAAAAGACTGAAACATACTCAAAACGACCTCAATGAGGAACATGTCACAATCAATTCCCGCCTTTGCGCTGATCTGCCAATTCATGGTATCTCAGTGCCATCAAGGTGCAATCTGACAGCTCAGCATCATCTGTCTCGGATCCCCCTGCATCAGTCACCCCGGGTTGGAAAGAACTCGTCCTCGAGTTCAGAGTAATGTCATCAGAATCCACAAAACAATGACTCAGGTGCTTCACATTAAAGACATCAGAAGTCTTCAAGTGGCTGGGAAGGCGCAACCTGTAAGCATTATCATTGATCTTCTGCATGACCTCACAAGGTCCAATCTTCCGATCCTTAAGCTTATTATACTCATCAACAGGAAAACGATCACGAGTTAATACAGCCCAAACAAAATCACCAACATCAAAAAGTACCTGACGACGATGATTGTCGACCCGAGTCTTGTACTTGGTATTGCTCTCATGAATGGTTTGTTTCACCTGCTCATGGATACCCCGAAGATACTTTGCCATCTCATCTGCTTTAGGACTGAAATGACCTATACGTGGAATAGGGGCTAAGTCCAGCACCCCGGATGGGTTCTGACCATAGACAATCTCAAATGGGCTTAAACCTGTGGTTCTGTTTTTTGATCTGTTGTAGGCAAATTCTGCCTGAGGCAATGCCAAATCCCACTGCTTCGGCTTCGTTCCTGCCAAACACCTCAAGAGGTTTCCCAAACTTCGGTTCACCACCTCGGTCTGGCCATCCATCTGGGGGTGGTAGGCGCTACTGAAATTCAACTGCGTTCCCAGTTTCCCCCACAGGCTCTTCCAGAAATGACTGATGAACTTAGTATCACGATCTGAAGTGATGGATCGAGGAATACCATGTAAACGCACAATCTCCTTGAAATAGAGATGGGCAATCCGGTCAGCATCCATAGTCTTTCTGCAAGCTACAAAATAAACCATCTTGGAAAACCTGTCAACCACAACAAAGATAGAATCCGAGGCCCTTTGGGTGCGGGGTAAGCCTAGTACAAAATCCATGCTGACATCGAACCAAGGAGCTTCAGGAACATGTAAGGGAGTGTACAAGCCCGCATTGGTGAGAACTCCCTTAGATTGCTGGCACACATAACTACGGTCCACATAATGGGCCACGTCACTAGTCAACTTGGGCCAATAAAAGTCAGAAGAGATAAGGGCCAAGGTCTTATCTCGTCCAAAGTGTCCCTCATTATGGAGTTCACTTATAATTTGCTGCCTCAATGAACAATCTGGAATGCACAACTGTAATCCATGAAACAGATACCCATTATGCAAAACAAAATCATGACGGTGACCCTCAATTACCTCCTGAAATATCATTCCAAAGGAAGGATCAGCTGCATACATATTTGTGAACATCTCAAAGCCTGCAACTTTAGTACTCATGGTGGTGAGAAGTAAGGTACGACGGCTCAGGGCATCTGCGACGCGGTTCAAACTCCCTGCTTGGTGCCTCAGCGTAAAAGTGAATTCTTGCAAGTATGCCACCCACTTGGCATGACGTCTACTCAGCTTGTGTTGTCCATTGATGTACTTCAAGGCCTCATGATCGGTAAACAGAATAAACTCCTTCTGTACTAGGTAGTGACGCCAATGCTTCAGGGACTGAACTATGGCATAGAACTCCAGATCATAAGTGGAATAATTTTTCTTTGATCCCGATAGTTTTTCACTGAAAAAAGCAACCGGACGACCTGCCTGACTCAGAACACCACCAATGCCAACGCCAGATGCATCACAATTTACCTCGAACACTTTGTCAAAATCTGGAAGTGCCAAAACTGGAGCCTCGGTCATCTTCTGCTTGACCAGTTGAAAACTGGCCTCTGCCTCCTCAGACCACTGGAAATCACGCCCCTTGAGGCATTCTGTGATAGGGGCGATCAGAGTACTGAAATTTCTAATAAATCGGAGGTAAAAAGACGCCAAGCCATGGAAACTTCGGATGTCATATAAGGTCTTTGGTCTGGGCCACTCCAAGACTGCATCTACCTTTGACTGATCTGCATGAACACCATCAGTAGACATAACAAAACCAAGAAAAGTCACAGAAGTAGTGAAGAAAGAACACTTCTTTTGATTGACAAACAAGCACTCCGTTTTCAGCATCTCAAAAACAGCATGGAGGTGATCGAAGTGTGAAGTCCATGTCGGACTATAAACGAGGATATCATCGAAGTAAACTACAACAAATTTCCCCATAAAAGGTCACAAGACCTGATGCATAAATCTCATGAACGTACTGGGCGCATTGGATAGCCCGAAAGGCATGATCATCCACTCATACAACCCTTGTGGCGTTTTAAACGCCGTCTTCCACTCATCTCCAGGTCTTATTCTGATTTGGTGGTAACCACTCTTAAGGTCAATTTTTGAGAAGACCTTAGAACCAGATAGTTGATCCAACATATCATCTAGACGGGGAATTAGAAACCGGTACTTAACTGTAATTCTGTTGATCGCTCGGCTGTCAACACACATACGCCAAGAACCATCTTTCTTTGGCACTAGCAGAGCAGGGACTGCACATGGGCTCATACTCTCTCGGATATAGCCCCTCTCCAACAACTCTTCCACCTGTCGCTGTAACTCTTCAGCCTCTTTGGGACTGAGGCGATATGCTGGTCGATTTGGCAAACTTGACCCAGGAACAAGGTCAATTTGATGCTGAATATCCCTCATAGGTGGTAGCCCAGGAGGAAGATCCTCTGGCATCAAGTTAGAGAATTCTGCTAGCAGCCGCTGCACTTCTACTGGTAAATCTGCATCCACGTCTACTGCATTGTTCTTGCAAGGTAGTAAGGCATAGACCATGTCGCCATGCTCAATCTCATCTAAAAACCTGGACATAGAAAGCAGAGTAGTATTATGGGTTACTGGGGTAGGAGTGAGTCATTCCCGTCGGGGTGCCAACACAATCTTTTTTCCCTTGATGC